TAATAATAAATATTATTATTATTATTATTATCGGCTTATAACGTAATATATGAATTCCGTACATTATATTTTACTATATTATACTATATTTTTACACATTATTATATTTTATTACTATAATAAGATGGTACTGTAACGGCAATGTATCTAATGATTATTATTATTAGCATTATTGTAATCATTATTGCCGTTATGGTTGTTATTGTTGTAATTATTAACCTATAACGTAAAATAGCAATTTCATATTGAAACGCTGTTATACCTTATTATCATTACAATATGAAATTACAATGAAAATATACCTAATTGCTATTATTATTAACATGTAATATAATATATCAATTTCATACCGTAACGCCACTATATTTTATTACCGTAATAACGTGAAACTATAATGACAATTTACCTAACCATCGTTATTTTTAACATATTACGTAACATATCAATTTCGTACCGAAACACTGTTATATTTCGTCACTATAATAATACGATACCGCAATGGCAACGTATACAATTACCGCTGTTATTGTTGCCATATACCGCGATACAGCTATTTCACGTTAAATCACTCTAAATAAATTTCGTCCCGAGCAAGGAAATAAACAATATCGCAATTGCAAATAAAATCTCCCGCACATTACCCCTGTGAGGCCAGTCCGCGCGATTAATCTCACCTGCCTTCACCTGCATTAAATAACCTCGCGAGCCAGCCGATGGACTCTCGCAGCGCCATCGAACCGTCAATCTTCTCGCAACCGATTCACATCCCCAGTCGAAGCGAAGTCGATCTCGGACCCGGTCATCTGAGCTGCATTAAACCGTCCACCCTGTGGGAACTTCGTTCGCGGACGTTATCCGGTCGCGATCAGATTTATTCGACGCAGCTAACGTCCGCCAGACCCGGCACCGGGCTTGGGATTTATATTCAACGCACAGTCAGAAGCCGTGCATCATCGGCTTAAGTCAACGAGCCAATCGCAAACAAGGCGACCGCACCACGCGCCCGATAGCGTGCCTATGCAGATCGCCTCGATTCACCCCCGCGCCACCCCCCGCGCACCCTCATGGCCAGACCTTTATGTACGTTTACGTTCACAACATACGCGGTGCTCTGTAAGTCCTGTATGCGAATTACTATGCTGCGCTCTGTGGCCATTTTCTTATCTACTGTTGCGTTTTAGACAGTGGGACGTCTGAAGAGACGAACTTCGGAAGACTGAATCAGTTGATTTATGGTACAGTGATGAGAGTAGGGTTTGCAGACGGTGCCGCTAGGTCGCTATGCTCGAATTTTGAGATGAGTTGCTAGTATCGTCGAACACACTTAGATTCGTTACTAATACACTCAGCTTCGTCACTAATACAATTAGCTTCGTCACTAACGCACCCAGCGTCCTCACTGACACACGCAGTGCCATGATTAACACACGCAGCGTCGTCACTAATGCACTCAGCGTCGTCATTGACACACGCAGCGCTATGATTAACACACGCAGCGTGGTCACTAACACATCTAACTTCTTCACTGACGTACCCAGCATCGTCACTAACACCCCTAGCTTTGTCACTAACGCACCTAGCGCCGCCACTAACACACGCAGCGTCGTCACTAATATACCTAGCTTCGCCACTAACGCACGCAGCATCGTCACTAACACCCCTAGCTTTGTCACTAACGCACCTAGCGCCGTCACTGACACACGCAACTCTGTCATTAACATATGCAGCGTCGTCACTAACACCCCTAACTTTGCCACTAACGCACCTAGCGCCGTCACTGACACACGCAACTCTGTCATTAACACCCCCAGCTTTGTCACTACCACACCTAGTTTCGTCACTAACCCATCCAACTTCGTCACTAATGCACCCAGCGTCGTCACTATCACACCCGTCGTTGTCTCAGACACACGCATCTTCGTCACTAACATCCCTAGCCTCGTCATTAACACACGCAGTGTCGTCACTAACGCACCCAGCGTCCTCACTGACACTCACAGCGCCGTGATTAACACGCAGCGTCGTCACTATCACACATAGCTTTGTCACTATTGTATCCAGAGTCGTCACTAACACATGCAGCTTTGTCATTAACACACGCAGCGTCGTCAATAATACACCTAGCTTCGTCACTGACAGGCCCAGGATTGTAACTAACACACCTAGCTTTGTCACTAATGTATCCAGCGTCGTCACTAACGCACCTAGCTTCGTCACTGACGTACCCAGCGTCGTCACTAACACCTAGCTTCGTCATTAACACACGCAACTTCATCGCTAATTTACCACAGATAAATTAGCGGAGTCTCTACAAACTCTGTTACCACATCGCGAAGAACTGTACTCCGAGGATTAGTAATAAGACCTAACAGAGCGATAGATTATCTATTGGAATAAACTATAGCCATGCAATGAGAACGTGAGACGTGCTAGACGTCGCAGGCCAATAGCAATATTTGGGTCTCAAGGATCTTTGTCATTATACTGACCACGAGAGTGCATCTGTCTATCAAGTTTGAGGTCAAAAAGCATTCCGTTTTCTGAAATTCTTCACAGTTCAGTTCCAAACCCCAAGCGGTATAGATCACACTAGCTTAATGCCCCTTAGAGACACCTGCATTCCTTATTTGTATTTCCATGACTGTACGTTTCACTAATAATAAGCTGTATATATTCTTCGCTATATAACTGTATGGGGGTCCTCTCTCAGAGTAGCTGACGTTCATGGTGCCACAGATACCCCTTTTCTGAGTTGCAACAGTGATTGGGTGACGCTGGAAAATACGAAAGGAAGGGAAGAGATACGTGTTGTCCAGGGTCTCCTAGTGGACTCACCATCAGGACTACCTAACAAATCCTACCTTAATTAGGAATACTATTAGGTCTGAAATTTATATATGTAGGGAGTGGAGGGTTTGCGAGAAAGTGCTGCAACCTCTTTGAACTTGGAATCCATCTAATAACGTGGATGAAAACGATACTCGCCATAACTATATACGGTTAATTCCTTGCGAATCACAGAAATTTCAATCCCAGGAAATTGCAACGATATCCAAAACAAGTGTAACTGAATTTTAGTTGCAACTGTTGCACCAGTTTCGAAGTTGATGTGAAATTGTTAAACAGATTTGGAAAATCTTCATTGCCGAAGAAGCTGCTAGTTTGACTTCAGACTGACCTAATCTAGGCCAAGAGATGCATTTGATAACCATATTCTTAGAAAGGAGGAAAGGCAAGAGAGATACTAAATTTGTGAGAGTGGTACTGATGCATCGTCCGGATCCTTTTGAGTAGAGTAAATCGAAACGAGATGCAAATTGAAGTGATTTTAACTATGGTAATTTATTATAGTAAATATAGTACGTGCAGTGATACTGCAGTGTTGGTAGAGAAATTGTATTTTTCGAATTTTTATGATAGCTTTGTGAAAGTGGTGCAGATGCATCGTCGATATTTTGGGGTATTCTGAATCCAAGTGCTACACAAATTAGAGTGATTTTAATTATGACAATTAATTCGACGTAGGCTACAAAATGTTAACATGACAAGACAATTGAAGTGAATTTTTGGCGCGTTACAAGAAATATAGAACCATTCGGGGCGACAGAAGCTCTAGCTACACCACTGCATTTATTTTCAATCTATTTTCCTCTCTTCTCGTTCATTATATATTTATTTCCTTATTTTCTTCTTCTAATACGTTATCTTTATCTACATCCTGACCTTAGTTAAGCTAACAATAAGAAAGAATATCTCTGTAATTATTAGAGTAGTTAAATTTTGAGGTTAGGTTCGTCCTGAGCATCGTGAATACAATGTTGAGGCACTTTTAAACTGATTATTCGATAAACATGAGTTTTAAATAAATAGGATAATTCTATGAAATATTAAAAGATACTCGTGACACTATAATTATCTTAAAAAGAGAGAAAGGAAGAGAAAGAGAGAGAGAGAGAAATGGAGAGGAAAATAGAAAGAAAGGTTGACATAAAATTAGTCTAACAGATTATAATTTAATCTACATAATGGACTTTACGTTGTTAACTAATATTTAGATGAGGTAAAAAATGAAATAAGAATTTTCGAGATAAATGCTCGCAATGTGTCCCTCTGGTGGCGAAAGCAGGAAGATCGTCACAGTACTTGAGTAACGATTTTTTAGAGGTTAACAGGGATAAAATACACAAACATGAAACTCTTATTACATCCAATGGAAATTATAATAAAGCACAACAATTAAAATACATATTTTAATGCCATAATAATTTCAATTTGATAAATAAAAATTTTCATAATATATATAGATATACATAATAATAGCGTGTCTCAGGTAAACGTAATCTTTCCTGAAATCCAATTATCTTCCATATACCATCCTATTTAATTATCTCTGTTAATAACCAGCCCTTAACAATCGCATTCCAGTGAACCACTATTTAATTATCCCTGTTAATAATCACCCCTTAACAATCGCATTCCATTGAACCGCTATCTAATTATTCTCATTTAATCACTCGTACACATTCTCGTACACCGAACTAATTCCCCTGCAATTTGACAGAAGGAATTTTCGCTGGAAAAAATTCCCACGAAGTGGGTATTCAAATTACCTATATAAGTCGATTTATTACCCACATCCCCGTGCGCATGCGCAAACACGAATTCGCGTAGCAACGTGTACCCCCGGAGAAAAAAGATAATTAGCCGGAAGATGAAGGTATCAAGGTGCAATTCAGATTCATCCGTCTGCTATCTCAATTATTCCATCACGGCTACCGCGTATAGCATTCGGAGTTTCTGCTCGAAAAAATAGCTCTCGTAGCCCCCGGGTCCATCCTTCTGCAACACCCTGTACGCACGCGTGTCGCCATGTACACGTAAGTATGTGTATATGAATTTATATGTGCATGCATATGCATGCGTATGCATGGATATTTACGCGCCGCCCGGATATATGTGTATGAATTTATGTGGCGATTCGTACGTACAGGCGAAATAGGTACATATGCTCCTGCGTGCGAATGTATGGATTCGTCGTAAAGGGATTATACGCATTTACGTATCGGTGTTTACATTCCTCTGTGCAACGTTTATACTCGCGTACACATGCGCCTTTGCAGGCGTCTGCACAGGGTGCCGAGCACCCCGAGCTTTCCTTCGTCAGCCACGTCGAAGATTAACACTGGGTTCACGGGCCGCGTCATTCTGACGTGGCTTAAATTTCATGGCGAAAATAACCGATCTCGCGTAAATAAAAATAATATCTGTGTTAGTGGTTGTCATAGAATGTTTGGTATAAGTGTGACGAATGTTTTTGTGGAAGAATGTATGTGTGCGACGAGTATGACAGAGAGTCGTGAAAAACAATCAGTAGGTGAATGATAGTCATCAGAAATAGACGTTGTATGTGAAAGAGTCCTGAATAGCGAGAAGCGAATTTATTTTATGTAATTTAATTATAATTTATGTTGCGTTGTTATACTGTTCAATAAATATTGTTATCAGTTTATCCATTTACTCACAATATCTACGAATATTATTAATTTCACGTAAATGCATATCTCAGTTTCGTTTCGAAGAATGGAATGTAATGTACATTGTGACACAGAGCAGAAGCATGAACGGGGATTATATTAGGTGTGGTGATGATGACGCGTGTTGGTGTGCGTGACTGCACGATAGGGTGACCTACTATCTTTTGTTTCTCCCGAATTTTTCGTTTATTATATCATTCGCAATTACGTGTCATTAAATATTTAATCATAACACATTTGTCAATTAATAATGTATATTTATAGTGTGTCTTAAATTAGGTTTTAAACGAAATGTCGACGCGTGCCTGTAGAGATAGGTATGCAAGAAATATCCGTAACACCCTGTATATTACACCTTTCATTTTATTATAATTATTATTACATGCTGTAATGTTTATTTTATTACAATTATTATGGTATATACTGGATTTTATTTTACTGTGATCATTATTATGTATTATATATATTATATTATGTATTATATATATTATATATATTACACTTGCACACTGCATTACACTTACGCTATTATATGTTACACAATAATTTATTATAATTATTATATGTCATACTTATCATTCTATTGTAATTATTGTTATATATCACACTTATCATTTTGTCCTAACTACAGTATGATAATATAGTACAGTATGGTATAGTATAACAATTATAACATAAAAATGTAGCATGGTATAGTAAAGTAATTATTGTATAATAATATAATATAGTATAGTATAATAATTATAGTATAATAACATAATATAGTATAGTATAATAATATACCATAATATTTATTTCATTGCAATTAGTATTATATATATTAGATTTTATTTTATTACGATCGTTATGATGTATTACACATGCACATTACATTACACAATATTTTATTATAGTTATTATTATATGCCATACTTGCCATTCTATTATATAATAATTATTGTTATATATCACACTTATCATTTTGTCCTAATTACAGTATAATAATATAGTATAGTATAGTATAGTAATATAGTATAATACAGTATAATAATATAGTATAGTGTAGTATAGTAATAATAATTATTGTTATATTGCATATTTCATTTCATTGTAATTATCATTGTACGTCATACTTTTATTATTATTGCTTATCATTTTGTCCTAATTACAGTATAATAATATAGTATAGTATAGTAATATAGTTTAATACAGTATAATAATATAGTATAGTGTAGTATAGTAATAATAATTATTGTTATATTGCATATTTCATTTCATTGTAATTATCATTGTATGTCATACTTTTATTATTATTGCTTATCATTTTGTCCTAATTACAGTAAAATAATGTAGTATAGTAGAGTATAATAATTATAGTATAATAATATAGTATAGTATAGTGCAGTAATTATAGCATAATAATATAGTACAGTATAGTATAGTATAGTAATTACAGTATAATGATATAGTATAGTTTAGTATAATAATAATAATTATTATTATATTGCATATTTCATTTCATTATAATTATCATTGTATACCATACTTTTATTGTTATAGCTGTATATTAGTAGGACGCTGTTGAACCACCCTCTTTCGGCCGCATTGTAAATAACAGGCACAGCGAGAGAAAGCAAATACCCCATCGCCGATACGAAATCGCCAAAGGTTATCATCCCCGAACACTTTCCCTTGCTTTCCGCTCTCTCTCTCTCTCTTTCGCCCCTTTCTCCAGTGTTCTCCAGTCGAGATGGAGGACACG